CCATTTTCATTTTTGAGTTTCCTTTTTCCTTTTACCATTTAATTATGGTCTGATTATTCTCTATAGTAAAGGGATAATATGTGTATCTATGTAAATTTGTTCACTTTTGTGTCACTCATTTGCCAGACACTTGTTATGTGCCTTTTTGTTTGGAATTTTTTTTTTTAAAAGAGAAAAAATATCTATCATTTTGTTTCCATTGACCCAGTTTCTTGTGAACTTGAACTCCATAAAAGTGTGACTCTTTGTCTCTACATCATAATTAAGTCACGTGTTGTCCTCACCTCGTCCACCTGCGCCTGCGTCTGCTGCAGTCGTCTGTTGCTTGTCAGATTCGGGGCTGGAGCCGCAGGGCCCCCCTCGCCATCGGCCCCGGGAGCTCCTGGAGTACCTGCATCTGGAGTCGACCTGCAGGACAAGGGTACATGTTATGAAAGAAAGAGCGAGGGAGATGAAGTGATTGCTTGTCAGATGCAATGAAAAATGAAGAGCTCAACATGTACATTCAGTCTTTTCTTGAACTTCATCAATTACAGGATGAAGGTAAAATATGGTGTAACAGTAACACAAGCAGAATCATGAAATTGGAGTTAATTAGAATTAGAAGTAGAAGTCAAATTCAAAGTTCACTAACATTAGCCAAACATAAGCTACTGGTCATATCAGGCCACATAAAGCTTCAAAAGTCTGGCTTTAAATCTGCAGAGAAACTTTACACATTTATCATCTTCAAATAGCAGAAAACACACACACATTTTCAATTGAAAAATTCCATCATTAGGACTTTTACTTTTCTTAGAGTATTTTCACACTGTAGTCTTGCTAGTTTTACTTAACTTGTAATGCATATTTTCACATTGTAATATTGTTTATTTTACTTTACTTACTAGTATTTCTACACTCTAATACTGCTATTTTCATTTAATTCAAATGTCAAAGTGTCTGAGTATGTCTGAGTATATTTTGATACTAATACTCATGCACTTTACTCTTGCAGTATGGCTACTTTGACTTTTGCTTTACTTGTAAAACAGTATTTCTACACCATGGTGCTGCTAGTATATTTTAATACTTATTTACTTTTACTCAAGTAAAATATTAAATCTTGGACTCTTCACATTGTAGTATTATTATTAGTATTAGTATTAGTGTAGTAGTAGTGTAGTATTGCTACATTTGCTTTGCTTGTACACTGCAGTGTTGCTACTTTTACATCAGTAAAATGAGTACTTTGTCATTTGGCAGCGAGTTAATGAAATAGAAACAGTCCGTACAGTATGAATTATAAAAGCCAAACTCTAATTCAATAATAGAAACATGACTCATCTGACTTTGGCCTCCATCCATATAATCAAAGTATCAGAGAGAGAAACTGTGAGAGCTCAGCAGTTCCGAAGAATACAATCACACAATCCAACAACACCACAAACATTTTACTTCCCCTACACACACACACAGGCTACAACAGGGTAGGTGTTCTGATGCATGATAAATAAAACATTCAGTTTTATTCCCTGTGCTGTGAAACACACTGGCTTGTTTTCCAGAGGTAAAATGGAGAGAGATTAGTGCAGCAGCAAAGGTTCCAACAGAGAGGGCTGGATTTGACTGATGGAGATAAACATGCACGCAATAATACCCCACCCCTCCCCCCACGAGGAGAAATAAATCAAATGAAATATCTTTTTGTTTGGATCTTATGATCTTATGTGTTTAATTGTAAAAGACTCGCTGGAGTTATTTCTAAGCTCAATAAAGTGTGTGTTTGTCTGATGGAAAAAGTAGCTGGTGTAAAAGAAGCACTTTGGTCAATCACAGAATTGATGGATAGTTGTGTAGGTGATTCAGCCGGTGAGTCATGGTAATATTTCTGCAGGCTAACAGCAGCAGCCCAGACATTTCCAGAGCATTCGCAAGTTTAGTTTTTGCAAAATTAAAGTAATAAAACAAATGATCAAAATGCAGGAAATATGAATTAATAGGAAATATGGTATAGTTTAAAGACAGTGACACTACAATGACCTGGATGTTTCTTTAAGATCACAAACAAGCTGCTGTTTGGAGCCGATTGACTTAACTTTCATTTAGGATAGTAAACAGATAGTTAACGATTTTAGAGGTTTGTAAATAATTTAAAATGAATAAAGTACTCACATCTCAGCGGCAGGATGATGGAGATAATCTGAGTCCGAGAGAGAGTGAGGGAGGGTGAGAGAGATATAAAGGGAGAGAGAGGGAGAGAGAGAGGGAGGGCGAGACAGAGAGAGAGAGAGCTAGAGAGACACACAGAGAGAGATACTCCAGTTGAATATAAATGAAGGAGGATGACTCGAGTCTTCTTCTCTGTGCCTGATCTTGATTCACTTTCTCTTTCAAACAAAAAATTACAAATTACAATTGAAACAGCTGTCCAGACTAAAATCTCTGCGTCATACACACACACACACACACACACACACACACACACACACACACACACACACACGCTGTTCCAGTCAGAGGCTGTAATACCTTTAACGGAAATAATTAAAAAATAGTCCGTCAATAGGTGAAATTCAGGAAATCCTGTCCACACAGCCGAATCTGCAGCTCAGAACCTCTCTGACACATAGAGGAGTAAATGGTAAATGGACTGTACTTATGTAGCACCTTTTCCACCACTCAAAGTGCTTTACAATGGAGGCCACATTCACCCTTTGACTTATACATTAACACGTTTTTTTTCTACCACACACACACATTCACACACTGATGATACATTCAGTATCTTGCAGACGGACACTTCCAAATGCAGATTGGACGACCCACTCTACCTCCTGAGCCACCGCCGTTAGATGCATACTGAACGGACTACAGTGAGATTAAAATCAAACGCACCCCCTCATTGGCCCAGACGCAGGTGTGTTAATTAACTTCCGTGTTCTGCGTGTTCGCTTTGACTCAAACGTGTCGGTGTTTGTGTCACTTCGGTGTTTCTTTTCATTTTGTCACCTGTAGGGCTTGAAAAGAACTCAATAATTGACATTTTTTTGGACTATAAAGTTAATCATTATATCAGCTGGATTTTTTCGGCGCTGCATTTACGACTTAGCTGGTATTTTGTAAGTAAACTGCACATGCAGTTTGAATCCTGGGAGAAGTATCATACAGACGTCTGATACAGGTAAGTGCAGTATTGCCATGTGCTGTATAATTACAGTATAGTGGGCTGTACACTGAGCAAACAGGAAAACACCTGTGTGATGTGTTGCAGTAAAACACCTATAGTATAGGTGAAAATATATTTTAAGTGACACTGTGTAGGTCCTATACAGTGTCACTAAAAAACATTTTTCTTTTATAACTTTCTCTCTGTATAGCTTCTGGGGCAGTACTGGTGTTTTACTGGACTCCATTATAATTAGAGGCATAATATGACAAACATTATATTCACTCAGTCGCCAGTTTGTTAGGTACACCTGCTAAAACTAATGCACTCCAATAAAACAGTTCTGTGATAAATCCTGCCTTCACCAAGGTTTCAATGCTCAGGTTTTCTTGATTGTTGAATTATTGAGTTTGCCTTAATTAATATAAATGAACATGCCTCATTATAGAGCAATACAATCACCTCAACCTTCATGAATGGAGGGCTTATTGCACAACTGTTGTATTAGATTCCACCAGTTTTAGCTATGAGTACCCAAATAAAGTGACAATTGAGGGAATATGAAGATGCTAAATACAAGAAACAACATACAATACAATATCATTTTTTCATAATCATAAACAGATGTTCCCATGTCCCCCAGTTTCTCAATTAATTGTCCATAAAATGTATTACATAAACATTGTGATATGAATTACATGTACTGTAAGCTGTGATCAGTGGTGGAAAAGGTATTCAGATCTTTTACTTCAGTAAATTACAAATACTCCCTTACCAGTAAAACTGGTATAGGTATAAAAATGTCATAGTATAGTAAGGTATAGAAATGTTATAGTAAGGCATAACAATTTCATAGTATAGTAAGTATAAAAATGTCATTGTATAGTAAGGCATAATAATGTCAAAAAAATGTCATAGTATAGTAAGGCATAAAAATGTCATAGTATAGTAAGGCATAATAATGTCATGAAAATGTCATAGTATAGTAAGGTATAATGTAATACTATATTAAGGTATGAAAATGTCATAGTATAGTAAGGTATAAAAATGTCATAAAAAAAGTGAGGCATAAAAATGTCATAGTATAGTAAGGCATAAAAATGTCATAGTATAGTACAGCATGAAAATGTCATAAAAGTGTCATAGTATAGTAAGGTATAAAAATGTCATAAAAATATAATACTATAGTAAGGCATAAAAATGTCAAATTATAGTAAGGTATAAAAATGTCATAAAAAAGTGAGGCATAAAAATGTCATAGTATAGTAAGGTATTAAAATGTCATAGTATAGTGAGGCATAAAAATGTCATAGTATAGTAAGGTAGAAAAATGTCATAGTATAGTAAGGCATAAAAATGTCATAGTATAATAAGGCATAAAAATGTCATAGTATAGTAAGGTATAAAAATGTCATAGTATAGTAAGGTATAAAAATGTAATACTATAGTAAGTTATAAAAATGTCATAGAAATAGTAAGCATAAAAATGTCATAAAACTATCATAGTATAGTAAGGTATAAAAATATCATAGTATAGTAAGGTATAGAAATGTCATAGTATAATAAGACATAAAATGTAATAGCATAGTAAGGGATAAAAATGTCATAAAACTATCATAGTATAGTAAGGTATAGAAATGTCATAGTATAATAAGACATAAAATGTAATAGCATAGTAAGGGATAAAAATGTCATAAAACTATCATAGTATAGTAAGGTATAGAAATGTCATAGTATAATAAGACATAAAATGTAATAGCATAGTAAGGGATAAAAATGTCATAAAACTATCATAGTATAGTAAGGTATAGAAATGTCATAGTATAATAAGACATAAAATGTAATAGCATAGTAAGGGATAAAAATGTCATAAAACTATCATAGTATAGTAAGGTATAGAAATGTCATAGTATAATAAGACATAAAATGTAATAGCATAGTAAGGGATAAAAATGTCATAAAACTATCATAGTATAGTAAGGTATAGAAATGTCATAGTATAATAAGACATAAAATGTAATAGCATAGTAAGGGATAAAAATGTCATAAAACTATCATAGTATAGTAAGGTATAGAAATGTCATAGTATAATAAGACATAAAATGTAATAGCATAGTAAGGGATAAAAATGTCATAAAACTATCATAGTATAGTAAGGTATAGAAATGTCATAGTATAATAAGACATAAAATGTAATAGCATAGTAAGGGATAAAAATGTCATAAAACTATCATAGTATAGTAAGGTATAGAAATGTCATAGTATAATAAGACATAAAATGTAATAGCATAGTAAGGGATAAAAATGTCATAAAACTATCATAGTATAGTAAGGTATAGAAATGTCATAGTATAATAAGACATAAAATGTAATAGCATAGTAAGGGATAAAAATGTCATAAAACTATCATAGTATAGTAAGGTATAGAAATGTCATAGTATAATAAGACATAAAATGTAATAGCATAGTAAGGGATAAAAATGTCATAAAACTATCATAGTATAGTAAGGTATAGAAATGTCATAGTATAATAAGACATAAAATGTAATAGCATAGTAAGGGATAAAAATGTCATAAAACTATCATAGTATAGTAAGGTATAGAAATGTCATAGTATAATAAGACATAAAATGTAATAGCATAGTAAGGGATAAAAATGTCATAAAACTATCATAGTATAGTAAGGTATAGAAATGTCATAGTATAATAAGACATAAAATGTAATAGCATAGTAAGGGATAAAAATGTCATAAAACTATCATAGTATAGTAAGGTATAGAAATGTCATAGTATAATAAGACATAAAATGTAATAGCATAGTAAGGGATAAAAATGTCATAAAACTATCATAGTATAGTAAGGTATAGAAATGTCATAGTATAATAAGACATAAAATGTAATAGCATAGTAAGGGATAAAAATGTCATAAAACTATCATAGTATAGTAAGGTATAGAAATGTCATAGTATAATAAGACATAAAATGTAATAGCATAGTAAGGGATAAAAATGTCATAAAACTATCATAGTATAGTAAGGTATAGAAATGTCATAGTATAATAAGACATAAAATGTAATAGCATAGTAAGGGATAAAAATGTCATAAAACTATCATAGTATAGTAAGGTATAGAAATGTCATAGTATAATAAGACATAAAATGTAATAGCATAGTAAGGGATAAAAATGTCATAAAACTATCATAGTATAGTAAGGTATAGAAATGTCATAGTATAATAAGACATAAAATGTAATAGCATAGTAAGGGATAAAAATGTCATAAAACTATCATAGTATAGTAAGGTATAGAAATGTCATAGTATAATAAGACATAAAATGTAATAGCATAGTAAGGGATAAAAATGTCATAAAACTATCATAGTATAGTAAGGTATAGAAATGTCATAGTATAATAAGACATAAAATGTAATAGCATAGTAAGGGATAAAAATGTCATAAAACTATCATAGTATAGTAAGGTATAGAAATGTCATAGTATAATAAGACATAAAATGTAATAGCATAGTAAGGGATAAAAATGTCATAAAACTATCATAGTATAGTAAGGTATAGAAATGTCATAGTATAATAAGACATAAAATGTAATAGCATAGTAAGGGATAAAAATGTCATAAAACTATCATAGTATAGTAAGGTATAGAAATGTCATAGTATAATAAGACATAAAATGTAATAGCATAGTAAGGGATAAAAATGTCATAAAACTATCATAGTATAGTAAGGTATAGAAATGTCATAGTATAATAAGACATAAAATGTAATAGCATAGTAAGGGATAAAAATGTCATAAAACTATCATAGTATAGTAAGGTATAGAAATGTCATAGTATAATAAGACATAAAATGTAATAGCATAGTAAGGGATAAAAATGTCATAAAACTATCATAGTATAGTAAGGTATAGAAATGTCATAGTATAATAAGACATAAAATGTAATAGCATAGTAAGGGATAAAAATGTCATAAAACTATCATAGTATAGTAAGGTATAGAAATGTCATAGTATAATAAGAC